ATACCCGTAGCAAATACATGGCTGCTTCTCTCCTATGGCCTTAACCATGTCATTAATGTCTCCGTGGTGTTTGTCTCTCATATCTCGAAAGCAACTACCGATGTAAATAAATAGGGTGATCCGGTTTACAAAAATTTTAAAAAGTACAGCAACAACGGTTAGTCAGAATAACGCTGAAAACTTTATAAAAATAGGCCAGCAACCTGTATAGTGCAGATATTGCGATTACGCAGCGCCCGTACGTTGCCGCTGCCGCCAGCATAGTCTCGAAGCTGGTATGCGCTAAATCCACCGCCCACTTGATGCCAACGATAATTTATAGTGGCGGGAGTGTGGACAGATGGCAGTCCTGTGTTTATGGCCAAAGAGACGTTTATACTAAGAGAGTTTGGCCAATGGGCAAGAGTCGTCCGCTACAACGAGCGTATTTCGCAGTACCACAAAATGGTGTTACATTGTCTCTTCTTTATTCCTGATAAATCAGAGAATTCTTATGAGTAAGGACCCCAAGAATGGCGCTCGCAAAGTAGTCATCTTTTGGTTGCTCGAACACGCTGCTGTTGTTACCAGACTCAAAATCGCCTTAAAAAGTCCAAACTTTCCGTATTGAAAATAATAGTTCAGCCCTGATATTTCATAGTACCTTCTCAGCACCTCAAATCTCTTCGGGCAATAAAACCTCTCAGCCCTCCAAACCACTTCAGGCCTCTATCCCTCAAACTCTTCCGACTTTGAGACCCCCTCCGACGTTCAACCTTTCAAACGATAAAATGACTGTGAATCATAAAACAAAATTCTATTTAAGACGTTATTGGAAATTTATTTTTACATGCCTGTTGTAACCCAAAGACGGTAAGAACCAACGTTTACTCAAACTAGGGCGAAATAAGCTGTAGACAAAAGCGTAGAGTTCAGACCGAACAGAGAAAACCAAGTTATTTGTCGCAAAAATATATTTTGCGGTAATCACAATGCCGCTAAGTAAATTGTTGAGAGGTACGGTAGTTCGACAAATAAAAAACAACCGCATCAACACGGTGGAATGATTTTGATTGGGGCGAGGCTCCGGTGGTGCTTGTCTGCGTAGACGCTGAGCCGCAGCATGCCGAGCCTTTCGTTCGTTTTCATCGATGTCACGCTGCATTTCAAATGCTCAAATGCGTATATAACCACGTTCCATACCACACATTCCCTTTCTGACATGGATGAAAACGAACGAAAGGCCCGGCATGCTGCGGCTCACCGTCTACGCAGACAAGCACCACCAGAGCATCGCGCCTATCAACATCATTCTCACGTGGATATGCGTTTTTTTGCCATACACGAGCATGTGAGCTCACGTGCAGGAGCACGTGCACCCGATGGCGGACGAACATACGGACATGGCTAGCCCCTAAGAAGCTTCGCCCCTAAAACGAGCAGATGCACCGCACGTGCACTCACACACACTGTCCGTAACACGTTGAACAAAAACAACGAACGTGCAACCGACATCGACCGCTATTGAGAAGGCCTGAGCACAGTCACGTTGTCCTCCTATAGGGGCGTTGCGGTGACATCTCCCGCGTCATCTTTGATGGCTGCATATTTTTGGAAACGAACAAACGAAAAAGCAAAAAAAAAGAAAACTGGGAGTTGAAAGACGTTTTTGATCAAACACCCTGTTGCTATGGAAGATACGACCCACTCATGGGACGGGAAGCCGAAACAGCGTCCGCCGGTTGTTGTGCATTTGGTTTGCGCTCGTGGACGGAGAAAAAATTCAGGGCGACCAGCTTCTAACGAAGGCTGCATTTCGACTGAAACAGGCTATCTTCAAACCAGCACCAAAAAGTCATCCCCTTAGGCGTCGGGAAAGCGCCACCTCTCTCTCTTTCTCTCTCTGGTGGAGCCCGTGAAACACATGCACAGAACACACAGGCTCAGCAATGACGGACGGGCGAATATCTTCTCTATTTCCAGCGCTCGTATTGGCCACCCGATACAAAATGGCGAAGCAGCTTCTCCCTTAGCAAAAAGAGGCCGTACTTGAAACGAAGCTGAAATGTATTCAATATAAATATTCATTTTGTATTTATTCCGTATTATTTTGTCCACATTCGAAACACGCGCGTAAGGTATTCAGAATATATAATAAATATTATTCAGGAGATTTTTAGATATAACAAAAATGTAATTCCTTCCCCCTGAAGATGCCATTTGTGTATTCAAAACCGGCGACACAATTTTTATCTTTTTATTTTGGATTTTGTTATTATTTTGTTTACATTCGAAACGCGCGTAAGGTATTAAAATATTTAATACGTATTAATCAGAAATTTCTAGATATATCAAAAATATAATTTCTTCCCCCTATTTGTGTTTTAAAAACTACACATTTTTATCTTATTATTTTGGATTTTTTTAGTAAATGGTGTCGCTCTGGTATTTGAAGGCACTACTATATACCATCCCCCAACTACACATTAGAAACGAACGCAAAAACAAACACCATGACACAGTGAACACTTGATCACAATCCCGTTAACTGCTCTAGAGCTTTATATAGCCTACATATTGAATTTAATTATTTGGCCGGTAACCATCTTTGCACCTATTAAGGTTCAAGGTATTGGATCGTCTCCAGGGGGATCCTGTCAAAGGGGAAACAGTGTTTTGAAGTTCGTGGACGATATCTCTTACTAAAAAGCATTGGTACAACTAATAATAATTAGGCGCAGTCGCTAAAACAATATCCACATAAGCGGCTCGTAGAAGAAATGATATTGCTTCTCTGGATAGCACCGCTCAGGACGAAGCGAGTGAAGACAGTTTCTTCACTTTAATATAGTTATTTTGCTTTTCTTTTTTAGTTGACTATTTAATATGGCCATTAACGTCACTATATTAAAGTCTCTACTAACCTCACCTACAATGGTGATTATACACATTCAGTGAACTAACATTGCGCTAGCACAACCACACTAAAAATGTCTGCTCACAGCACTTGCTGAAATTTACAGCATCAGCAGTGTTGTGGTTGTAGTTCCCGAACCCCGCTTGTGATTCTTGCGCAAAAAACTCATCAGATGTGTTCTTGATAAAAAAGGAAACAATAACATAAACTGGGCTGATTTATCAGTGCGATGCTGCACAACTCAATTCACAAACTACCAGATGTCGCTCGGCCGAGCTCAGCGCGGCGCGCTGCTTGTAGGAATACGCTACGTAAACGAATGCTTTCGCATTCTAACACATCAACAATCTTAAGTGTCTCTGTAGTGTTTCTAACGGTACCCGCCGGCCCGAAACCGGGAGCTTTGGGGTGACTTCCCCCTTTGCCGGTCGACGCCAACTGGTTAAATTTTCTCATTTTCGCGCTAGAAAGTCCTTGAAATAGCCTCGTTACTTTAAAACCCTGATGTCAATATACTTCTCAAATGCCTGAAGTTGTAGTGCATCATCGTCGAGCCGCAAGAACTGCAAACTTAATTTCCAATTTCTTTTGTGAATTATGATTTCAATGTTGCAGAGAAACCTGATATATTTTGGTACTGCTCGCCTGTCACCAATTTCTTTCCTGTTTAATGCCGACTAAAAGAAGACTCGGACAGATGGTCGAACACATCAACGCTGCATAGTTTTCGTTGACAGATAATTTGACACGGCTACCCTGATAATGTTTGGCATTACGAAGCTTAAGTGCACGGCTATGCCGTCCACATTCTCTTATCATCCTCAAAATTCACCACGTAAATTACCGTACCCTCAGGATCCCTTTACTGATGTCAGCCACATAACCAAGCCTGGAAGACTAGCCCACCTGTCTCCTGCACTGCGCCAGCCAAATATGTATCGCTTAAATTAGAATCGGTTCAAGATCTTAGATGGGAGCAATATTAAAACGTTCCAATCAGTACGCGGTCAATTAAAACCGTCTGGATTTCTTCGTCCTTGTCTTTAAGTTCGGGTAAGTAAAAATGATTTTACATGTCTAGGAAGAAGGCGCCCAGTAAAATAATACCTGCAGGCGCTGAATGCATGCCCGTCTTTTGTACGTGGAAGTGTTTGACATTATCAATGCGGTATTAAATGCTTCCTAAGCCCGCCAGTAATAGGCGGAATCGACCGCCAGAGCATTGAAAGGAGTACGGCAGCCACTGACGAGGACCCGACCGGGCCATTGAACGGGCAGAGCAGAGCAAATGGGTCCTGTAGAAATACGCGTTCCGATTCGTATTGGGCGCTAAAGTAGATAAAAACTCGAAGCTCGCGGAATCCTAAATCGCCTTCGTCCTACGGCTCTTTATGTTGAAAGCTGAAAAATGCACAATTCCGGCTGGATTTGGCGAGATTGGAATCGCCAGGATTCTTTTGAATCGACCGGAACAATCGAAGCGGTTGAATGGATCCGGTGCGAATCGAAGTCACTGGACAACGTCGAATCTGACTCTGATCTTACATCTTTGTACGGCTCCGAAGAGAATGGAAAGAGGTGGGGAGAAAGAGGGAGGGTGAACGAGGAGAAGGAAGGCAGATGGGGAAAAGGAAGAGGGATGGGGAACGAGGGGAGAGACGGGGAGATATATAAAATGGGGAGGAAAAGAATAGGGAAAGGAATTTGGTGTGTTATGTGAGGTATACTTCTCCCTTAAACTGAACGGGAACCTGGCTTGTATAGGTAACGGGACGGCAATTTCCCCACTAGATTTAGGGGGGAAGCGGAATTGGTGTTTAAATGAAAGGTGCCGATTTTCCCGCTATATTTAGCGGGGCTTAAGCAAAAGGTTTTATGTGGATTGCTTGAAAATACGTCAATTTGTACATAAAACAAGCTAATATATCACATTCAATTCACTGGACGCATTACCCCCCATACGCAGAAGTTAACTCGCTATAATATATTAGAGAAGCATGCAGTATGCTCTGCTTGCTACAAATCGAGCCACATACGAAAGGGTGCGTAGCATACGCTCATAATTAAATAAGAATATCAGGACACGAACAGGGTTTCCACTTACCGTATTAAGAAATGTACTTATGTATTCCCGAAGAGGTGTAGTATGATTTTTTTCTTGGCGTGCCTTCACCAATGAAGAGTCACATACAAAACGTACTCCTAGTTTTATATTTGGCATCATGGATATGGTGTCTGCCCCTGAAACATAAAGTTAGAAAGACAAGCTTGAAAGGCCTCTTAAAAAAATAACTTATTTTGAAAGTTGAAATCATTAATAACACCAAAATCATATGAATAGCATTTCTCAAGCTCTCATATGCATCCGTCTATAGCCTCTGTATTAGGTCCACATTTGCCTACTGAATAGGCTCTTTCCAAAATTGAGTCTGACCAGTTCGAGAGCCGTCATCACCTAAGTGCGTATTATGTGTACATGCGAATGGCGGCCTCTTGATGGCTAGTGAAGGAAGAATTTGAAGACAGAAACCGATGCCGAGCCTGAGCACCCAGACCTTTGTTCGTTGTATTGTTGTTCGATGACGTCGAGACGAGACTTTTGGAGTTTCTATACTCTACTCATTTGGGGCTGTCATATAAGTCCTTGAAATGCTCAGCTTCAGCACGCCCCAGACAGCTTGTGACAATGAAATGGTAATTTTATCGAGAGGTTTAATTAACTCTACGCGCCTTCTGCAGTGATATTTTCTTGACACCATCGAAACTGAAGCAAGTAGGAATATAATTGTTCATGGAAAAAAACACCATAACTTTCGTACATCTACCGTTGATGAATAGGTAACAGATTGTGTTCGTCATGAGCACGCAACAATTTGTGCTGATATTTCAGCCACTACATGGCTCTGAATTTGTGAAAGGGTCTATTTACACCCTGCAAAAAATGTCCGTTTTAGAGAGTTTTAGACCAAAACTTCTTTTAACGTTTTATTTCACCACATGTTGTTAATACATTTTTAAGAAATGAAAAATGTTAGTTGATAAAATCTGAATTATCATTTAAATATACTATAAATAATTCAATCCAAGACTGGGGCCCAATGAGGGTATCGTTTTGACAGTGGTATAAAAAGAAACAGAGATACACAACGTCCTTAATTCAGCCTGTGATTTTATTTTAACACCCTTCTTATATACACCGCTCCACACGACAGAAAATCTAGTTTTTTGACGACGCCCACAAAACCCACAGCCACAAAAAAAAACAAAAAACGCTAAAGCGCGACCAACTTTAGATTAGATAAAGGCTTCTGGGCTACTTTGCGTCTATCTGAAATTGTAATACTTTCTACACAATGCACAATGTTTTTGGGTGTTTTAATCTCAATTCAGGCAGGGTTTTGGGGTCGATGTTCTAATGTTGACAAAAAATGTATGTTTATGGAGCATTCTTGATATGAAAGAGAGCGCAAAAGGCTAGGTTTGAAAATTTGCTGTTTTCGAGGTATTGCCCATTAAAGTGACCGAGGCAACAACTGACGTTCCTCCCACCGGTCGGGGATCCCATGTTTGACCTCTCACTATTTTCTAGTTCTCAAAATAAAGCAAAGACCCGTATGTGACACTCGCGAAGTAAATTCTATTACGCTTAGAAAAAAAATCTTAATTTTTGCAGTAATCAAAAAGTGGAACTCTGTTAGAGATGTAACCCTCGCTCCAGGGTTACCATGTCTATCCTTAACCAGCTTGCCAACTTACTTGCTTGAACTATTTTCTTTTGGTAATTTCCAGCAGAGTTCGGCAAGGTTTGACCTTTTACCTGTGTAAGATAATTTATTCACAGTGGCACAGCAGAGAGCTCAAATCAACGTATTTTCAATAAATACAACATTAATATTACATGTAAGAAAAAAAATAAGAGATGCTACATACATGGGAATGCACGAACGTTTCTAAAATATTGCCCCGCGCGCAGCTGGCCAAGTAACCAGCGCGCACGTAACTGATTTTCTCAAAACCCCCAATATTTATTAGCTTCGTCGTTTATTTTTAGTTGATATTAGGCTTTTTCACCAAAAACACTTAATAAATATAGAGTTTTGTTTGTATGACCGGAATCAAAGCTTGATTTTTGCCAGTAGGCCGTTGTGACTGTTTTCTCTGATAGGTTCTATTCTGATCAGGATTGGGCGTGGTATATTTAATCACCTAATATTCATACTTTAATGAACAAATAATCTTAAAATAAGCGTAATTCGGAGCGAAAAAGTATTTTGCTGTGCAACGAAGCTAGCAGTAATACAACGCACATCTGATAATGTTAAAGCTCGAATTGTGCTGATATCAACAAAATACTCTATATTGTGTTTACTCTTTCGGCAAAAGACAAATGATCATACCATTACTCTATTGAAAATAATGCAAACAAAAATGTAATTTTAGAAAAAATTGATCCCGAATCTGGTAGATTTTCGACACTTTCGTACATCAAGCATATGAAACAAATTCTTTTAGCACAGATATTATGGAATTTGTATTAACTGAAAAGGGAAAGATGTGAGATTTTTGTGATATTAAAGGGACACTGACAGGGAATTTATGCTCGCCGAGGTTTTTTAGTTGTACATGAAATATGAGAGCCCAACTACCCAGAACACAATTTGCGACACGAAATTTAGTTTCTTTCCGCCCGAAAACCGCCGATCAAGAACTGGCCGGTTCGAGTCTCGCTCACTCTCTTTTCCCTGCTCACGGGCCGTTTTCTAAGGTATCGAAGTGACCACCAAATTTAATCAAAGTCCTTGGTCACTGAAGGCACACACACAGTATTAAAAATAGAAAAAAAAACATGAAACCCATTTTTTGTGGCTTATAAAAAGCTGCAAATACGCTGATCGAAAAAAAAAAAGTTCCACAGAGAACCGGAAGCATTCTGTGCGTGGGTCGTTTCGCGTATCGGTGGGACTCGCGGGGACGGCCATGGCAGCGGACGACGGGCGTGGGACCTCTACTTCAGAACTGTCGTTCGCGGTGCCGACGAATTCTGTCAGCCTTTGAAAAGAGAAATCTGGGACTCATCAAAAGAATTGGTATTCATCTCGAACACGGCAGACCACCAAGCCGATTTGCACGAAGACGTCGCCGAGCCGTCGTTACCTTCTCCTCGCTGAAGACATAGCTCGCGCAAACGTCAAGCGCCGCACTAAGTGTTTACTCCTGGTTGAATATGCACGCGTACGATTTCTTTACTAGGTGCGAATGTCGCCAACGCGTTGTGCTTCCCGACTTCGCCCCAGAGTGCTTTTGTTGGAGAAAAATCGGCAGCAAACTTTCCAACTTACAGTTTACCGGCTGAATTATTACCGCTGATTATGACTAAGGAAAGAGATCCCCCAATAAAGAGTTGGCCCGATAGCTCAGTGGGAAAGACGTCCGCTTCACACGCAGTAGGACCGTTCAATCCCCAGTGAAGCTTTTTTTTTCAAACATTTTGTGATATCTACATTTCTTTTTATTTTTACAATTATCACTGAAAAAACAAACAAAAACTAAAAAAAAACAAATGTTGTGGACGACACATTGATGAATTAAATTGTAAGGAATTTCCTTTTTGACACCTGCGAACTCAATGTAATCACTTTCCACAAAATGCAAGGAGCATATAAATCAGGTAGCGTCCGCTTTTCGAGGTGCCCGTAAATGTTCTACAGAAATTGCAGCCAGCCATTGTTCCCGATCCCGCTGATCTTTCGGAAACTCCGTCGCACAATGCCATTTTTTTTCGGACGGAGGACATGTAAGCCAGCTCTTCACGCAACATCTTGGGTGTATTCTTTTCGCTGCCGATCATGGAAATTCACCAAGGGCACTCACTACTAATCTCCAACTCCTTAATGTACAAAACAAGCCATCTTGAGTACAGAACAGCGAGCGGAACAAACATAACTGCAAAAGAATCGCACGGCAAACAGTTCTCGCTTCACCACATGTCGTCTGCAACGCAAAAAAAGAAGAAAAAAAAAAAAAAAACGCACGGTCGGATGTAGCCACGTGACTTCCGCCACTCCCTCTCTTCTCTCCACTCCTCCGACCTCCGTGCGCGGGTTTCGGTTTCGCTTTCGAGCAGTTGCGTCTTTTGGCTTTATTAAAAAATACGCTACTCTGTTGCAAAACATTATTTGGGTAGACCTCCGACAACCATAATGAAGCGCCTGGTAAAAAATTAAAAAATTTTTTTGGGGGGTGTCAGTGTCCCTTTAAGGTAATTAAAATACCTTAAATAGGTAACATGTTGAAGCTCGCCCTGTGTTGCGAAATAGCGGAAAAATAACAACCCCAAATCTAAAAATGTATTATAAATATAATTTGTTTTTAAAACTTTAAGCCCAATGAAATTTACTCGCGAGGGTTAAAAAGGAGTCGGTCGTTGTGCTCTCTTTTTATAAAAAAAGAGAAAATAGCGAGTGGTTAAACATGCAATCTGTGATTTCTGGCAGTAACGTCAGCTTTTGCCTCGGCCACTTCTATGGTCATTAACTCAAAAAAAAAAAAAAAAAAACTCTTTCAAGCTTACCGTTTGTGACCTCTTTTATTACAAGAATGATCCTAAAACAATCAGTTTTTGGTCAAAATAAAATTTTTGACCCCAGAGTCATACCTTCAATGAAATTAAAACCTGTATTCCTGTAAAACAGGAACGAAGGCTGGTTCCTCGTTCCGTCTCCATCTTAAAACGAGTTCTCGTGACAAGTATCAGTGGCTTTAAAGGAAACGCTTTTTCGTTACCCTTTTTTTAAGAATGGAGGAACATGTCGTTGCATTAACTTTACGTTCTCTTATTTGATGAAATATTGTGCCAAATAATCCGGACACTTCCCCTTACATTGAAGTTAAAGGTTAAAATTGGCGATGATAAAAAAAAGCGTACATCCCTATTGAATATGGGTAAAACTGCAAATAAATAAACGAAAAAGGAACACCTTTCCACCTGCTGTTGCCTCGAAAACATGGCGAGTTCGCGTTCCAGTTCCACAGATGCGAGATGGAACTTCCGTGTTTTAGGAACGACGTTCCTTGGAACTCCCTTCCGTACAGCGTTGTTGAAAACAGTCATGTAAACAATTTCTCATAGTAAACTTCCACCAAGTCGCGTGTGCACTGACCATAATTTCCTTCAAGGGGACACAAACTCTCCGAAATATTTCTTAAAGCGCCTGGATAGGTCGCATGCGTCACACACTGGA